TATACGGTGTACATTAAAAAGGTTCTCCCACTTCATGTTATGAAGCGGTCAATTTATTCAGCAAAATTTCGGGGATTAGAAATTTAAGCATTAATGCTATATTTTAGCGTCAAAGTGATATATGAAAATTCCAAAATGTCGGCAAGGTGCCATCTTGAAGCATAAATGAAATAGGAATCATTTTGAACAACCTTATGACTCTTGAATATAAAAACAGTGGCTTTAGAATGACGAACTGGCAGGCTCTCCAAGTTGAGCGTCCTTGTTCACTAAATCGCTTATATCTGTCATACTTAATTGCAAATTCAGATAGTTTCACCGATTCAATGTACAAAAACGGTCATGTTTCGCAGGCCACTGGGAAATAGTAAATTAATACTCTTGGGCTATAATGCACCGATAAGGAGCTTCAAAATAAGGTATCATATGACTCTCTATTTGACTTGTAAAAATGTCCTGTGACTGGATTGTCACGTTTGCCCTAAGCAGATCAGTCCAACGTGAATTTTGGACAGATCTGACTAGAAAATTTGATCAATTATTGCGCAGCGACTGGCATTCGAAACTTTACGTGGTAAAACCTGATGAATTTATCTACATTTTATACATATAATCCGCAATTTTCATGTAAAACTGACAAACTAATGCATTTCAGTCGTAATTACGAAAATGGTCCACCGAGTGGCAGCATCTGCAATTAACAAGACGTTAGTATTATTCAATCATCTCGAACGGTTTTAAACATGACTTTGTTCAATTTGATCAGCGTCTTTGTATCGCCCAAAGTGAAAGACTGTGTTTATATTTTCGCGTCCAATAAAAATAGCACAGGGAAAGTGAGATACCGCAGCGACATCTATGAGAATTTGTCTCAGCTGTTTCTCTATTCAGTATACATACTTTGATGACCCTGTAACCACCCATATGCTTGTATATGGTTATACAGACAGCTCCTTCTATGAGTCACTAACCTGTTCAAAATATACACTACCGTTCAAATGTATTTTAACACCCAGAAAACAAGGAAACTGATAGAAGTTTTTAATGAAAACATCACAATATCTGTATGAAAAATTTATCTTCTTAGTTTTTAACAACGAACAACTATTAATAATCAAAGAAATCATACTTTTGACTTATCAATATGCCTTTACTTTTAGCTACAGCCTTGAAAATGATGGGTAAACACGCAACTAATTTTTCTAAGGTGGATGGAGTTATTTTTGCCATTCGTCTTGTTATATTCTCCATAAGTGTTCTTGAGATGTAGGACATCATTTTCTTACTTGTCTGTCCAGTTCATCCCACAGCAACTCTATCGGATTCAAATCTAGGAGTTGGGGAGGCCACTACATGACTTTCAAACTATTTTGTGTTTTTTTTTCTTCCAAAAATTGTTTACAGAGCTTGGATGAGTGTTTGGGGTCATTATCATGCTGACGAGTCCTAGAAGGCACGACATGATTTTGTAGTATGGCATTTATCCAGTATTCCCTATACTCTCACAATATCCCCCAGAGCGAAACCACCAAAACAACCCCCAAATCGTTATAGAGATTGACTGAAGCGACAGTGCATGGTTCTAATGTCCTATCGTTAGGCCGACGGCGGACAAATACAAAAAACCTTCAAACCTCGAGTAATCGCTCCAGAGGGCCTTCTTCCAGTCAGCAACTGTCCAATTTTCATGTTGTTTGGCCCAATTCTCTTTTTTTTTGTTAGTAGCCCTGAGAACTGAAAGCAATGCATCCCTCAAGTCCAGCTTAGAGTAACCTTCTCTTAACTGTAGTCACACTTTCATTCAAGTCCGCTGCTATTCCGAGTGCAGACATGCGTTTATTGCGTTTACTTTTGACTATTATGCTTGAGTTTTAAGTGGAAATTGTAACTCTGGGTCTCCCTAGACTATTGAATGGCTATTGGATGTTGTGCCTTGAGCCTTAAATTTCTTAATAATGTAGTGCACAGATCTATTCGGAATATTCTTTAGTTTTACAAATTTTGTTCAGAAAAATATAAAAATAAACGGAAACGCACCTGTTGAACTATAAGGTATTGTAGCACGGTTAGTTTATCAAATGAGACTAGCTAGCTGATGTAAAACTGTGTTATGGATTTACGTACAACGCAAATGGAAAGAAGTAATCAAAAAACAAATCCTGAGAAAGAATTCCTATACAAAAACATAATAGTATTCTAAAGGCAAAGAAACTCCTATTATGGCTAATGATGAGATCGCAATAAAAGCGTGAGCAAAATTTTCATTTTAATGACCTTTCAGTGATGCTTGATTTCCATGGTGATGGCTTTCAATAAATAAAGAAAAATAAATACGAATAGTTTTTTTGTTTGCTATGATTTTAAATAAAAATATGCAGGTGTTCAAATTCTTTTGAACGGTAGTGTATGTAGTAAATAGAGGATCAGCTGTAACAAATTCTTATGATGCCACGGTACCTATTTAATGCACACACTTCCGGTAACCTTCTTCAGCACATGCCATTTTTTCGATTATATTTATTATAACCAACATCAAAAATATCTGAATACCGTCCTGTAGCCGCGATATCCCCGACTGGTACTAGGACACTAGCTCAACCCGACGACAGAACTGGGTCGGGGTCAGTGTGTCAGATCAGTATGCAACCTTCAACCGACGGTTACGGTCACGCGTGTAGAGGCAAACGAACCCGTATAATCGATTGCAGATCGTTTCCCTAGACGACATCATCTAAGGCCTCGCAGATTTGTGTACCTGGTCTAGAGAGTCAGGGATACGGACCATTTGGAGGAATTTCGAGGTGAGCACCGTGGGAGGCCTAGACAACCACGAATGGTGCAAGTTGAGGAAGAACTACTGAATCGCGTAGACGAGAATCCCTCAACAAGCACTAGAGACGTGGCTAGAAAAGTGCAAGTATCAAAAACTAAAGTATGGCAAACGCTGCGTGAAGAGGGGCTGTATCCGTTTCACGTCCAACGTGTACAAGCCCTTCTACCTGACGATTTTCCAGCAAGAGTGCGGTTTTGTGACTGGTTGTTGCATCAACATGACAATAATCCGGACTATTTGAAGTGCATATTGGTGACAGACGAATCTACGTTCACGCGTAATGGGGTGAGTAACTTTCGCAACACTCATGTTTGGTCAGTAGAAAATCCGCACGCTGTCCGTCGGGCACATTTTCAACAAACACTTTCGGTGAATGTTTGGGCTGGCATGGTGAACGGTATGCTCATTGGACCATTTATTCTCCCAAATCGATTGGACGGCATGCAATACCTAGACTTTTTACGCAACATTTTGCCTTCCTTGTCAGAAGATGTGCCATAAAGTGTAAGACAATCAATGTGGTTTCTGCACGATGGTGCACCGCCCCATTTTAGACGCGAAGTTCGCGAGTTTTGGGATGAATTATTTCCGAATAGGTGGATCGGACGTAATGGACCCGTAGCGTGGCCTCCGCGATCTCCAGACTTAACACCATGTGATTTTTTTCTTTGGGGAGAAATGAAACGCTTAGTGTACAAAACTGAAGTGCATACGGTTGACGAACTTCGTCTCAGAATTGAACAAGCTGGTGCTTTCATTCGAGGGAGGGACTCAATTCTCAAAGCCTGCACCCATGCTTGGCTACGTCATGCACGCACCTGTGTTTTTGAATCAAACGGCGATAACTTCGAACAATACCTATAAAGTACGTTTACCTAAAAGCTGAAAACGCGGCAAGGCCGTCTTATTTGTTTGGTCTGCACCACCGCCGGCGTCTGCTCGGTAGCGCATCAGCTGATTTCATTTTCTGTTGGAGCGGTATGATTTCAGGCAGAGACGTACTTAGCCCTTCTCGTCAACTGGAGAGTGAGTACTTTTTCCTTTATTTTTTTTTACTTGGTCGCCCTCGTTTCACTACACATTACCTTTGTTATTTCAAGGGTAGTTGTTTCTGAAAAGGAAAACCCCAACTTTGCGGACACCCTGTATAGTGTGTTACTGCAATAGTCTGGAAGGTCATCATTCCAAATTTCAAGATGGCAATACCCAAAACCAGCATAGATCAACACCGCTCCCAATAGGTTGTCTAGCCTCCCTGAACGACAAGCGAGCATAAAGTTACCCGTCGGTTTTATAATGTACCAGATACGTCACCCTCGTCCATTTTTTCCGAAAACGCCAAAAGCCCTCCAAATAACGCGAAAACCCACCTAGAGTGGTTGTCGTAACACACCGGTTAATAGCTATACAATCTTCCACTAAAATGTTTCAATTGCATTGCCCAAACGCACAGATGTTTTACACCGCCATCTCAAGACTATACGGTTAGTAGGGGAATATCCTCTACTCCTGTTGTGTCCTATATTATTTTCTTACAGGAGAAACATCATGGTTCCCTTTAAATGCCAAACATAGTATTTCATAAAGTTATATAAAAATGTTACATTCATAGCGTTTAACATCTTTTGTCAGTATAAGTGTGACTAAGTTCACATGTGTAAAGACAGGATACTTACCTTCGGGCGGTGGCGAATGCTTTTCATGCGTTCAGTAATATTTTCAATGAATATATTCCAAACTACACTACAAGAAGGGCTTTCGCTGGGCGAATACACATCTCACATTGCAACAAGGCAAAAGTTGTAGACTGAGGTATATTAGGCAGCAGCGGTGGCCGCAGTAGCAGACTCTTCGGTCTCCTGATCAGTCGCCGTGCGCTGTGCGGGTTCGAGTCCCGTCTTAAGAGACATTTTTTCTTGGCTATGGATGTTGTGATTACCACCCGGCGGATCTGGCAGGCGGAGCCAGAATGTGTGCATGTTGCATGCACACGTGTTCCCTCGCCAGAGTCCGTGTGGCGTCCCCCCTTTCCCCTGTATCCCCCTATAGCCCCACGGTACCCCATGGGTGTTTAGACCTTAGGCCTTCGTGGTGGATGGAGTATAAAAAAATATTAAAGTGTTACGATGTAGGTTAGCAAGAAAACTGAGGAAAGATTGAAACCCCATTTTGCAGAAGTATACATCCTTTATTCCTAATATTTGTATGTACAATATCTATCTCTACATAACTTATAAGATCACACTGGGTTTAATAACCTTAAAAATACATGCACAATATCGAGAAGTAAAGTAGCTCTATATAAAAGTTCAGTAATCCATTTAGCGTCCAGAAAATAACAAAATACGTGTATAATCTGTATACAGAAGCTAATGTACAAAAAAAACATAATTTACCCTGAGAGATGTGTGTATGCGGTACAATGAAATATATAGTGTGAGTGAGTTTAAGCAGAAAGTATAAGTTACGTGGCAATTTAAGACATGTATTCTAGGTTGAACATAACAAAACGTAGGTAACAATAAAACAACTACTAATGTAGGATGGCACTGTGTACTACAAACCAATGTTGTAAACTGGAGTTCATGCAAACTTCATTGAGATTGCGAATAGGATTTGTCATTATATACAACTGTGCAATTTATATACATATATTCTGATAGATTCATAAAGCAGTTGTACCGAAATTGTAGGATGAAGCTACATTTTTTTATTTACTGATAAAGAAACTAGAAGGAAGGATACCCTAGTGATTTCCTGTCAAATGAATGAGTATCATCAGACAAGCAAATATCAGTGAGTAGGCTGATAACAAAAATAAACGAGCCTCAAAGCATAATCGTCTGTTGAAGACGCATTGTTAAAATGCTTTAAGAAAGCACATAATTTTGACTATTTTGCCTACGGAAAATAAATTCTGCATCGTGTCAAACTGATTGTCGATAACCTGCTTTCGCAAATTCACTTTTTCCAAAAACAACTAAAGCTTTTCTACCGATATAGAAATGAGTAAACCAGTGGGTTTCTCAGAGAGGGTAATGGAATAAGGAAGCCTTAAGGCTAGCGAATATGCAAGGCCAGATAAGAAGACGCCAAACTTCAGTATAAAAGGTTAAGATCTTCCTCAATAAAGATATTTGCAAGAATATTTGGCAACTCACTGATGTTAAAATTATCATTGCAAATAAGACGTCTTCAAAAAACGATTATGCAATTAGCCTTAAATTACAAACCTGCAGGTTTAGCGGAATTTCACCACTAAATTCTGCGACATCTAATACTGTAACTAACCAAAACTTAAAGCTGGATAGATAGTGTGCAAGTGTATTTGCAGGTAAGTGTCTGAAGGAAGTTCTCCAATTGTGAAACATTGGTTGTTAGTAATTCTTCAATAAATTGCTCATGTACAAAATAAAACTCTCTGCAAATGTATTGACTTAACGGCGACATAATAAATCTATACAAACACCATAAAAATGATTGGACAACGATAAAATCCTTGGTTTGGAACATTCTCGCTTGAACCTAAATTAACCTTTGTCTTTTCCCCTTAATCACTAAAAATAAATCGTCGTTCTTCACAATGTACAATGTTTCATATTGTCGGTATTCCATAGTAATTCCACTAATGTCCTTTTTTTTCAAATAAAAGTGGAGTGAATTGAAGAACTTTGATGGAATATCACTTTTTTAGCTATTTATTGACGTAGATGTAGGCTGAAATGGAGAGGGAATATGTTGAGCACTAATAAACAAGACGAGCTATAATCACCATCATGAATCATGCTTGCATTTATCGTCATCGACAACTCAACGTTTTTTAGCAATTTTGCACTAAGAATTCCTTGGTAAACAGCATAATCAACTCCAAGCTTAGTCATAAGCCATACTTCCAATTGACCAACCACGATTTTCTATGAGTTACTTGCTTGACGATCTGGCTTGATGCTACGGGTTTCGATAATCCGATATTTTGTGATATGGAAATGATTGCAACAATCTCACCTTACTGTACTATATTCTCTAAAAACAAATATCTGTTTTACCAAATTCATTTTCAAAATAAATTGCTGGATATGTTGCTATTCCAAACGCCTCTTCAATTCAGTCATCTTTCAGTTTCGATTTATTTCTGCATACACAAACCATTACCAGATTTATACAGGACGTTCTCAAAGTTCGGAGTTTTTGTAAAGAAATCAAATCTAGCGAATTCTTAAATGAAAAGATACGATGCGCGTCAGTATTCTAGATAAATCTCGTATCTGTTGGTAAACAGTCGTGTTTATTTACTAATCAAATTTGAAAAAAATAGCAATAACGAGTTTTTTGGATATAGTGTTAGTTTAGTCAGAGTATTTTCAAGATGCTGCTGAGACTAATAGCCTGGCATTACAATTCTCGAAATTGCGGTGAGTACCCTCTTTAAATTTTGTTTTACGTTGCTGATTTACCACTCATTATCTTTCTTGTCAGCGTAGCTGTTCCTGAGAAGGGAGGACCTGACTCTCAGAACACCCTGTATTTAAAACTTCACCTAGGTGCAGCTGACGGGAGTATGCTAAAGTTGACTTAATCACGGTTGTTGAGAAACAGAAACGGGACCTTGACTTTACCCTTGACCATAACGTGAAGGTCATCTGAAGGTTATGCTAAGCTAATTTTTTTACAGTAAGTGACCATTGATTGATTTTTGTAATTAGTAACGGATTATCGGTTATAGGCTTACGTAAGCCTTTGACCCATATAATGAACATGAACTTGAAGGATATTTCACCATTTAAGATTAGTGTAAACATCATGATGCAAGGTTCATTATATTGTTCAAGATTCCTATAGGTACTTAATGGTGCTAGCAAGCAAATGCTTCTTCAACTTGAAAACCGATGTCAGCTTCGTAGAGTTAAGGCATTTCAAATTCCGTTATGTACCATTTCAGACATTCTATTAATTGTAAGTTTGAAATAATTTGCAATGATCAAGATCAAACACTTCCTCAAGGTCACTTCTCTGCTCACTCCCGTTTGCGTGCGAGGTGAGGTTGAAATCTATATGTATGTATTTTCATATAAATTCATAAATTAGGACAATCAATCAAAATGATGGTACCTGCGCATCCCAAAACACCAACCCTTAGAGCGCTGTCAGGTCATAGTCGGATTTGATGACAGGTGACTGCATAAGCGATGGAGGGGGTGCTGCCCCTCCTGGGCACCCTGGAGGTGACGTGGCGGACAGCGGCGTTAAAGAGGGACCCATGTTGGGTCCCCCCATGCCTCCGCCTATGTGCATGCCGGGGTTGGTGGGGTGCAGAATACCGGGTGGGGGATGGAGGGAGGCGCCACTGGGTGGCATGGGGTGCGCGTGCGAATGGGCGGCCATCGACGCGGGCAGCGATGTTAGGGACATGTCCACCATGGTCTCACCGAGGCCTTCTAGGTCCCTGAAACAAGAGAGAGGAATTTGTAAGAATTTCATAGACTGTATCTAAACAGATACGCAGGGTGTCACTTAAAGATTGGCTGTAATTACAAGGGTGCATTCCTGAAACAAATTTATGTAGAAAAGTAACTATGTGGTTTTTAAGGTACGGGGTGTGAAAGTTTTATGAATTTTTTTTTATTAACATCTCAAAGATCCCATAGCAAATCTTGTCGAACCTTGGCAATGGTGCTCATTGCAATACGACTAACAGCACTAATAAAAAAATAAGCGGCACTTAATTCTTGAAATTCCTTGCGTCTTAGTATTCCATCGTATCTTACTTCGTTTTGGAGGAAAAAAAATAAGAACGACTACATTACTTGTAAAAAAATTGTTGAAATAAAATCAAGATATAAGGAACAGGAGTAACAACAATTTAACAATTTATTTACAAGAAATATTGGGAATGACCACCAACCGATTCTATGCAGGTTTGTTCTCTCATATTTTAACACCTTTTCGACATGTCATAAAAGTTGTTTTAGTGTTTGTTCTCGAAAACGATCTTCCAGGATATGTAAAAACTGTATCATTATCTGCTTAACCAAAACATTTTTTTTTCAAAGTTAGTGGTGTATATTTTTTTGTCAATGTTTTTCGTAAAACTGTCTCCACGAAATACCACGGGAATTCAATATTGCCTCCTAGTCAGTGCTAGCTAACGTCGTATTACAATGGACAGTGCTGTCAAAATTCAACAAAATCGGGTCAACGATCTTTGAGATATTAATAAAAAAATAAAATGTTTGAAATCAAGACTATGCTTATATGAACTTTTCTACTTGCGCTCTAGTAATTCCGGCCTATCATTAAACAACACCCTGTATAGAGTGAGATTTTAGTATGTATACCCCATAGGGTGATTCATAACCACGTAGTAACACAAACATACGTTTTTAAATGGTAGACCCCGCATATTTTAGTATATTTTGAAAGGTTTTTTCAAAGGAATATACTGATAAAGCATGTATATTGATATAGTTTGGATGACCACTTCTGTAGCTACGGGATAGACACTCATCTTTGACATCTAGTGAGCCAGTTGTTTTTGCAGATGTAGTAGCAAGAATTTCGCCAATATGAGCTTCAAATCCCATAATTTCTCGTCAAGTGAACGTTTTTGGAAAATGTACTTATGAACGAAAAATGTGGCTCTTAAGAAATTCAAATATTTTTACGTAAGCATTATTTTGGTGTAATATTTTCGGGGGGTTGGATTACTGAAGTTTGAGTTTCCCTTAAACTATAATTAAAAATAAATATGTACCATGCAGTATAGTATTGCTTTGTTGTTTATTATAGTTTTTGAGAAACTGCAATTAACTCAAATATTTGGTAATTCAGCCCCATATATCAAAATAAAGATTATCAGGAAGAAAGGCCAAAACCGTCAAAATACACAGGCTCCTTTGAATTTCTTAAGAAAAATTACATTTTGCGTAAAGACGATGCACAAAATTTAAAAAAAATGGTCAACTGTCGAGGAACTAATCCGACTAAAAGTTTGTTAGCGTATCTACGAAATTGTCCAATTTACAAGCTGTCAGAGTTGGTTTCTTTTTAGACAAAATACCTTGTAGCTCCAGAAATAGCGATCCAAGCCCTAGAGTATAATGATACCAAACTTTAAAGGGGCCGTCCAATATGCCTTTTGAAAAAAGCATGTTTACGTATGTAGTTCCGAATAGCCCTGTAGAGTACAGTCTCAAGTTAGGGAAGAATCATGATACCTTTATAGCATACTCGACATTACGGTTCATCTAGACATACTCATAATTAATTACTGTTTAACTACTGGGTTACTGTTGCGTCTGTTAATGAAATCTGAAAGTCATTGGCGAAAGACAAGAATTTGAATATTATTTTCGAGTACCCAATCCTCATCGAAATAAGGCAGCACAAAGCGCCATCTATTACCAGAATCGACCACTTCGAAAGTGAAAACAGTAAGCTGACAATTGGAACTGTATCCCAGTTCACATTGTCAGCCGGGTCACCACCGTGGCCACTATATGCCGTCGATTCTGGTTCTATATAAGATACAATCTAGTCTCCGTTGAACAAACTAGTTATACAGGACAAGCCAAATTTGTCTGACGGCTTGGGTTCAATGAGTACGACAGAGAAGCTCGAGAAGTGTGTATCAACACATGTCAGAAAGGTACAAGCCAGCTGAAGAGCGAAGGTCATCACCACACTGCCTAGCGACAGTGACGCAATATTTCGCATGGCATTCGCTCAAAATAAAATCATTATTTGGGCGTAGAGAATGAAGTAACGCATATTTTCGACATCCATCTTAATTCAAGCACCTGGTGTAACATATTGGCAACGCGGCAGATTGTCGTTTCAGCGTTGCTAGGCAATGAGGCGCCCCGATAGCACTAAATATTTGTTAAATGTTCATTTAATATTTAATATTTTTATCTTACTTAAATATTTGTTTTCTTAAATAAATATTTAATATTTATAATATAATATTTTAGTTAAATATTTATTCAATATCTTTTAGATATTTTAAATACAATATTTCTTTTATAATATTCATTAAATATTTACTTTTCAATCAATGGAAAATATTAAATCTTCAATATTTAGAAAATATTCATTAAATATTTTCGGCTACGGCGCACCTCGAGCGACCAATGGGATAATAGCAAGTCGGCCTGAGGCGAGTGGTACATTATTTGAGTGTTTTTTTGTGGAAAAGGGAAAAGGGTAAGTTTTTCGATAGTTACATAGCTTAGTTTATCTGACTAGTAAACATTATTGTGCCATCTGAGTATAAAGGTATTCATAAGACCATAAATAACTAGCCTTGAAGTGTAACAGTTATTTGGTATTGGTGGATTTATCTGAGAATGGATACGAAAATTATGTTCGTAACATACCAATGAAAAGACATATAATCGCAACTTAATCGTGATACATCAAAAATGCTTTTTTAAATATCTCAATTATTATTATTATTTTTGTCGTAATACGTTCAAAAATTTTAACAGTCGAAAATACTATACCTTTGTCCCTTGAATTATAGTTATGGCTAAGTTATCTCCCTTATTAAAAAGTCAAATTTCAACAAAATCAATAAGTGGTCTATTTTCAAAAACCTTTTCTTTAAGAGTTAGTCAACGGCTCAAGTTATGCCCAAGGACATTTTTCATCTCTAAAATAAAATACCAAATTTTCTTAAAAATTAACCAAATCTGGAACTATCATAGACAGAAAATGTGTGTCCTTTTATGTGCATTATAGAGCTGCTTTTCAGTGACCCAGTTGAGCTATTCGGAGTAACTCACCATGCTCAGCACCAATATTGTTCCACTGCATTTTATATTCCCATAAATACACTGGAAAGCAGCTTATGTATTCAATAATACTTTATGATTAGTTTGTTTTTTTTTCAGAGGAGCGGACTTGCAAAGATGCAGAAGAGGCTTAGAATATTTTTTAATAATATTTTTCTAGCAAATTAAACCATTATATCTAGAATGAATTTTCTTTATAAAGCCAATTTTATATGCATATCTATAATGAATATTTTATAAATATATAAAAAATATATTTATTAAATATTAAAAAATCTGTTTTTATTTTTTAAAAATATTTAATATATATTTAATGCTGTCGGGGCGGTGAGCTTCACTATCCACTAGGTCCTCGAAGTTGTCCATTTATTATTTCAGTTTCTGCCGCATTAATTTTTTTTTCGCGAAGTTGTGCTTCGGCTGTTATTGGACCAGCGTCATAAACCACCCCTAAAAATGTGTGGTGGGACCCCGTTATGAAAAAAAAACACATATTCTGTCTCCGTTGTAATGACATGTTGTCTAAGGTCTGTTCCAAAAGTTCTGGTAGGTTATTGGCTAGAAAGCTGAGGTATCCTTCTCCTGACAACTTTGGGGGTAACTCGAAAGGACCAATTACCTGATGGTCAAGAATACCCGCCCAAATATTTATTTTAAAACGTTGGAAATGACCTTCACGAATGGTATGAGGATTTTCTTGGGCCCACGCGTGAGTATTATGGAAATTCAATATCCCGTCTCGCGTAAAAGCACATTCGTCCGTCGCTAGAATGTTTTTAAAAATATCCGGATTTTCAATGTTTTTGTGCAAAAACCACTGACAGAAAGTTAGTCTGCTAGGATAGTCTTCAGGTAACACTCGTTGGACATGGTAGGAATAAAGCAAATTTTCCCGTAGGATTCTGTGGACTATGGTATGCGACACGGCGGCCTAATTCCCGAGTGCTGATATCTGCATTGATTTCCACGATATTTAAGATTTGTTCCTCCTGCTGCACAATAACCTGCCTTTCACGAGTGCGAATATTAGTGGGCTGAACACTTCCTGTATCTCGAAGTCTTTGGTACACTTGCACAAATGTCCTTCTGTCTGGGTGAATCCGTTGGCGAAATCTGTGCCGATAAATTTGAGCTGCAAGATTTGAATTCTGACGAGCGTCACCGTAAACTAACAACATGTCGGCAAACTCTTCATTCGAGAAGATTGTAGATAAACACGACGACGTACGCGAACAAAAACAAAACAACACGCCCGATGCTCTGCTCGACAAAACGTTACCGTTTGCAATCGATTGCCGGTTCGATAAGAGTGATGAAAGACCGACGCGCTGTTGTCATGTGTGTTTTAAATATTTAACTTAATGAAACTTACTGACTACAAATTTTGGCTTAACTTACAAAAACTTAATGCCATTTATTTGTTAATTACCCGATTTAAAAATGTTTTAGATTAGATTATAAAAAATAGTAAGATTCTGGTGATTGTGGTCGATATAAAGCACTTAAAGTTGTAAACTATAAAGGCATTTAGACAAAAATCTATTGACTTTTGGACCATGGGTCATATGAACTTTTTGACTTGTTTTGACCCCCCTCCCCCTATTACCCATTTCAATAATGACTACCATAACGTTTACACCCTGTAGATTTATCCAGAGTTGGTGACATAATATGTATTCATGCATAGAAGTGAGTCTATTAACTACATTGCATTGCAATTAGATAACAAAAAGCTCAAATCACTCACCTCGTATTGTTATTCTTCCTTTTATCGTTATTATTAGGCGGCGACGTACTCTGCGCCTTCCCCCTTCCTTTCCCCATCTTCCCGCCACCATTTCCCGTGGTCGCTCCTGTCGCCGTCGTTGTCACTCCCGCAGGGTTCGTCTTTCTCCTCACGTTTTTCGTATTGGGCAGCTTGTTGTCTTTTTTCCACTTCATCCTTCTGTTCTGGAACCAGATCTTGATTTGTCTTTCGGACAGTACCAGATTGTGGGCTATTTCTATCCGTTTCCGCCGTGTCAGGTACCTGGAACAAGCAAAAAGGTTACGTTGCAGATTGAGTCTGTCATTTATGGGACTTATTACTACTTATAATATTATAAGTGAGAAAGTGTAAATGTTTGTTACTCAATCACTCAAAAATGACTGAATGGATCTGGATGAAATTTTGGTACAGAGATAGACTTCAATCTGGAATAGCACATTGGCTACCTTTTATCCCGGGATATAGCTTTGAAATATCTATTTCGCTGGCTACAGCCCACGAAGACTAGATATAGGAGGTTAAACCCATAGAGTGGGAGTGAAGCCAAAAGTGTCAACGACGAAGGCGGGGCTATCCCGTAAGTACCCTGCGTAGAAAATCAATTTCAGGTTCTGCGCATGTAGCATCTCTCTGTTGATGTTTTTTTTTATACTCCAACTACCACGAAGGCCTAAGGCCTAAGCACCCATTGGGTACCGTGGGGCTAAAGGGGGATACATGGGAAAAGGGGGGGGGTGGCACACGGACTCTGGCAAGGGAACACGTGTGCATGCAACATGCACACATTCTGGCTCCGCCTACCAGAACCGCCGGGTGGTACCTCCGCGTTCGACAGTCTGAGACCATCTACCACCTACGGACAATCACAACATCCATATCCAAGAGAAAAATTTCTCCTGGGACGGGACTCGAACCCGCACAGCGCACGGCGACTGATCAGGAGACCGAAGAGTCTACTACTGCGGCCACCACTGCTGCCTAAAACAAACACACAACATCCATGGCGAAGGCGAGATTCGAACTCGCGGCCCGGCCGGCCAGCTGATCAGTAGCATGACAGTCTGACCCACGCGGCCAACCGAGGTCCGTGATGTCATCATGACTGTAAAACACGAAGCAGACGCTCTTGGCAATAGGATTGGCATCATACGAATACATTACGCAGTTTTACGTCCTATCTCTTGGTGCTACAGCCCAAACAGCTCAATGGAATCTGACATGAAGCGTCTGGCGCGGCAGCGCTCAGTCGGAAGTTTGACCGAAATGACGAAATCAGTAAGGAAGGGTATATAATTCAGGCATATGCATCGTGCGTTTGCCGCACCTTAGCATTCCTTTTCTTAGGGTGAGTTTATGTTGGAGCTTCGATAAACTATAAGAGCGGCGATACTATAGCGAAGCAGAGAACATTATTTCGTAGTTTCACATGCAGGCGTTTATAGTGGAGCAACGAGTTGAGACACGCTTGGAAGCAAGGCAAAGTTAACAGCGTCGATAATTGTTTCGTCTATTTTTTTCGCTTTTATCACAAGTGCTTGCAATATGCATATAGACAGTTTAATAAGTGAAACATTCATCAGACCCGCTTTGTGGGACTAAAAGGACAGAAACCATCATAACAGATTTTTTCTCGAAAACTTATTAAACCCTCTAAACTTGTATCTGTGTATTTATGGGATGTGCAGAGAGTTTTCACTTTATATAAATATGTCCTTTTAAAATATAATACTTAACAGCACTTAACGACAGAAGTATTTTTTCTCCAGGAATACTCATCTTAATAAAAAAATGCAGTTAGGTGGGATCTATGTATATTACTTTAATTTTCAAAAGGTAGGTATCGTCGCTACTGTCGAAGATCCACTATAAAATACATATTAAGATATAAATTTTGCGTTGCTATTGTCGCTGCTCTTATCGTTTATCGAAGCTCCAACATAAACGCACCCTTAGCGTGATCCTCTTGATTTAGATTTGTTTTGTGTTTTCTCTTCAAGTGTAATACCGTGAGTAAATAGTTATTGGGTTATGTTAAGATATACTACACAGGCTATGTGACAAGTTTTAGCTATGTAATTCTGATGGCAGATCAGATATTAATTTATTGTTGCATTAAAATGTTGAATAAAAAATGTCCTTGCCAAAACAACTATCCCATCAGTTTAAATATTGCATTTCCTTCTCCGCAACCAATCTCCTTCACACTAATGCAAAACGAATTACCTATACTTCACATTACTTCCACGTGAACGGAACGGCGGGTTTTGGCTAGTACATCCTTAAAGCTATTCGCGCCAATTGGCAAGAGGGTACCGTAATCGTTATAAGAGTTCAGATGTGAGACTAGTGCACCAGTAGTCAGGACAGATCCATGTATAACTATGAAAGTGATGAGCTCTGTAGAGATGACAGCTTTGAAAACTATACATGGGAAATATTGACTTGAAACTAACGCTGAAAACATAGCAATGAGTAGTAGAAGATTGAATAATCATATAATGGGTGATTTTTTTGCTAGTATCTTTTTGCCAACACTGTTTTTGACAGATGACGCGTGAATCGTGTCTTGTGTCATTGTCAAACTTGTTCAGTTTGGTCTATAATTTAACCATGAATCGACTTACGAACGAACAACGCTTGCAAATTATTGAATTTTACTATCAAAATTTATGCTCGGTTAAGAGAGTGCATCGAGCGCTGCTTCCAATTTATGGGCAATTTGGTCGGCATACTGAGGGAGCTAGTCGGAAGCTTGTGACTAAATTTCGAACCCAGTTTACATTATTGGACATTAAACCACCAGCACGCAGACGTAGAGTGAGGACTGAAGAAAATATTGCGGCTGTATCCGCCAGTGTTAGTGATGACCGTGAAATGTCGATTCGCCGCCGTTCGCAGCAATTGGGCCTCTGTTACTCCACTACGTGGAAAATTTTGCTACAGGATTTGGGTGTAAAACCTTATAAGATACAGCTGGTGCAAGAATTGAAGCCACACGACCTCCCACAACGTTTCCATTTTGGTGAATGGGCGCTGGCAAAGTTGGAGGAAGATCCACATTTTTATCGAAAAATTATGTCCAGCGACGAAGCTCATTTCTGTTTGAATGGGTACGTTAACAAGCAGAATTGCCCCATCTGGAGTGAAGACCAGCCAGAAGCATTGCAAGAGCTACCAATGCATCCCGAAAAAATCAGTGTTTGGTGTGGATTATGGGCCGATGGCATCATCGGGCCGTACTTCTTCAAAGACGACAATGGCCGGAACGTAACTGTGAATGGCGAGCGCTACCGTGCGATGATAAAAAAATTTTTTTTGCCCAAAATGGAAGAGCTGGACTTGGCTGACATGTGGTTTCAACAAGACGGTGCCACATGCCACACCGCACACGAAACAATGGCCCTATTGAGAGGCGAGTTCGGTGAGCAGTTTATCTCACGTTTGGGGCCCGTCAATTGGCCGCCTAGATCGTGTGATTTAACGCCGTTGGACTATTTCTTGTGGGGCCATGTTAAGGCTAATGTCTACAGGGATAAACCAGCAACGATTGACGCACTGGAAGCCAATATTGAAGCATTTATTCGTGAGATAACGGCCGATATGTTGGAGAGAGTGTGCCAAAATTGGACCTTGCGCTTGGGCCATCTAAAGCGGAGCCGCGGCCAACATTTACATGAAATAATATTTAAACATTAAATTATATCGACCGCTCTATCGACTCAAATAAAGCTGTAATCGTTTTTTTCAATTTTTTTGTGTTTTTTTGAAAATCAAATCCTATACCTCTTAAAAAATCACCCGTTTCATCGAATGGGAGATGACAGGTGAGCGAAAGTCGTGCTTTTCAAGGATAGAACACCCCTAGCTAGATGTTTTCATGTTACATCCTTATCATGTTTTACTGTACTATACTCGATTCATGCGTGAGGGAATCTTGTCACCTTTGGTCTAACCTTCATGTTTTACGTACGCTACTTGACAAGGTTTCCCTACAAGCCCATCTTGTACCGTTTTTGGAAAGAAAGTTTTTTAAAAACAATATTTTCGGAAGCCGTAGTTTAACTTGGGTGAATAGACTCGACTGAAATAAACATATTTGGGACGAGGAAGTAAACAAGTTTGGCAAAACGTTGGTAGGTGAACATCGTCACATTTCTCACCTACTTGCGCATATTGTTTTGAGTTATTCAAAATACCATGTACCCCACTTGTTTGCTTCTTGTTCGTCGCAAAGACTAGACCTAAAACCTATACCGCTCTGATGTATTGCCAATGGACGAAACACCGCTGTCTGCGGTTCCTCATGGTTACAGAGACTGGAATCAAACATGCCCATCTCATGTTGTCTACCAGCATGACGTAAATACGATATACAGCATGTTGGTGACACGCGTATCCCACAACCTAGTGGACATGCTTACCCTTAGGGTAAATGGAGGGCTCAAGCTTAAGGGTAAGTCCTCCTATACTAAGGTACGGAAGTTCCTTGTTTAAAGAGTACATCACATAGCTTTACAATTATACGAGCCGAGGACTTCTATATCCTGAGGCGCAAAGCCCCAAGAGATGAAATGTACGAGGTTAATAATAGTAGCCTAGTAGCCAACTTTTTGAGTAACAACTATTATGTGTTACCATATTTAATTTGACCAGACCTTGAAATATAGCATATTTCAGTAATTTCCGTAACATCCGGCAACACTGTCAGGTAAAAACGACGCCCATGTCACAGGACGGTGCCTAGGAGAGAGGGACGCTATCGCTAGATGATAGCGAACTAAGAATGTTATAAATTCTTATAAGCAACAACAATAGTTTCAGTTATAAAATAGTGTCTGCGTTTACTTTTTCTAAAAAAAAATATTCAGCAATATTAAAAAATGGATAGAGGAGTTAACAGCAAAGACAATTCTATACACAGCAAGCCTGAAAGTTCCTCTACATAAACCCTACGTTCATTATTCACCTAAGGTTTTTCCTTTATCTTTAGCTAATTATCTAGAGGGAGAAGTCTAGCTTCTCCATATAGAAATGGCGATTTCTCGGGCTAATAGTGAAACGAATATATACCTGTTCGTGTAGAATTCCTTTTCTAGTTCTAGAATTTGGTGTCGGGTGTAGGCTGTGCGTTGCCGTTTGGGTTCCATACCAGGAGCGAAGGCTCCCGTAGCTGAAAGAAGAGAGAAACAGTTGTAATTCGGGTATTGATTCAAAGTCAGAATAAAATTCCAAGCCACAACATGGAGCGACTCAAAATGTTTGACGAGGGGCGTCGTTTATGGGCTGTAACGTTATATAATTGATTGGATACTATGAGGTTCAAACACACGGAAAATTATACCAGCTCTGTAAATTTCAAGGATTCCCTAATTTTCTTGAGTGTCACAAAAATGGATTGACAAAGCTTCAACAACCTTTTCTTCAGGTACAACATTGCAATCATAGTATTTTTCTTACCATTCATATGTAATGTGACCGGCCTATGATACGTAACATCTTTTTCGCGCCGTACATCTAGTCGGCGCGTGCTGCTGCAGTGCCCTCTTTATTTCTTTTCTTTGTTTTAATAGTTTGTGTGATATTTCGCAGGTTATGCGTCGGTTTACAACTAGGTATTTTGGATTACGGTGGAAATATATTCATAGATAAATTAATTTTATCAGGAAAGTGATACCGGAGTGCCCGGCAGTCGTGTGTGAGTGGACAGATATTCGATTTACGAAAATCGTTACCAAATCCTGGTTATTTCGATCGAAGTGCTTGCTTCGTCTCCAAGCTACAAAGGTATTAACTGTTTTGTTTCTGATATATATTTGTTATACAATCTATAGACTTTGGTATACTATTTTGATATTTGCAATTCAGTTAATAATTAGGACCGTATCGTCAGTCGTTCCTACAATGGTAGGACGCCTTTATGGCCTACTTGATTTTATGGTCTTTTCTATTCTTCAGAGAGGCTGGGACATTTCTGGAGTTCTACTATTCCGTGTCAGCGTCAGCGCTCTCTTATTGTGAGGCTATGTTTTCGTTTTGAATCTGAGGAAATTTCAGGCTATATAACAGATGAAATAAATCAAAGGCTTGAACAATTTGATGCAAATAGATATTTGTGACATAACCTCAAAATAGAGCGCTGACAGGGAACAGTAGATAACTATAAAAATCCATTAGGCCATAAAGTCGGTCCTACAATAATTTTAGGAAAAATTTCTAGATTGGACCTGTTCCATGTCAGCGTCAGCGAGATTGTGAAGTGATGTTTTCTTGTTGAATTGTAGGAAATTTCAGGCTGATAAAACATGATATAAATCAAAAGCATGTTTGCAATGCAAATAGATGATATTTGTGACATAGAGCGCTGACACAGAAAATTGGAAAACTATGAAAATCGGAAGCAGTCGAGAAGCTGGCCTGCAAAACCGAATAAACATACCGGCTTTTAGAGATTTTTCCTACATACCGATTAAAAAAAATCATATTTCAGATTACTGTAAAGGTGCAGATCAACCGATTAACCTATGTATTTTGTTTTAAATATTAATGGAATGAGGGGTACTGGTGTGATTTTCTTATAATAATACGGTTTTATGGGTTAAATGGAGGAATAATTGCATAATCTAAACTTCACCCAAGTAAAGTTTATTATTTTTAGTAACTTTTACCCTACAAATATTGAATGATATGGCAAAACATCAGTAAAAAAACTAAAAACTGCGTAGACACTACAATGTTCTTTGCTTGCAAGATTTCAATTTAACCGGTTTTGCCTCCTATTCATCAGAAACATGAATTTGTGTAAAAAGTGGATATGTCTGGTTTTGTACCCAAGGCTCTCTGGCAACTTGTTTATTGATTACTCGTATCATGAAAACAATAATTATAATTAATGCTTTTTAATTTAGGGTAAGGAGTCACATTCACAGAAATATCACTTGGTAGTCTAAGCGGTAAGTACAAAATATTACCTATTTTTCTATTTATAACAGGAAGTTTGCCAAATAGGGCCCACATTTTATTAAAGAACGGTACGTACTAGGTAACTATTGCCAGCCAGATGTCTGTCAGTCTGCATTTTGTCATTAGTTCGGCCATTACAAAGTAAGGCTTTATTGCGGCTTTCCGATATTTCCCAGAATAGGCTAAAATTTTCGTTTAGGTTTCTTCGCATTTGTGAACAATTAGTGTTCAATTATTATTGTAAAAACGTTTTCATAAAACGTAGAAGACAAGGTTAAGTATCTCATGCTCTAAGTAGGTACTTATGTTGTGAAATGTGTACCCTAAACTCTGCTTTAAAAGCATTTATCTGCAGAGCCTGTACGGTGTGTTACTACTTCGTAGGTGATGTAGATTAGCACAAAGTGGCAACACTGGCTCGGTGCCGCCCATTCAAAGATGTCTTTGGTGACGAGTCTTGCCGTTAAGTTGTTGGCATCAAGCTATTGTTGCTATTTAGCATTCCCGGTGATTCTTAATTTTTGCAATATTCGTTAAACACAGAGTATGGAAATTGATCAATATTTTTATTGTTATTTATTTCACACAAATATAAAGCAGCATATTGCCAATTTCACCAACATTAATATTTGACGGTCAGTTGGACTAATAGAAAGATTTTATCGAAGCTGTCAAAGCTCTCTGAAATATCAGTGATTTCTATTGAAATGTTGAATAGTCGTGAAAAACCGGTTGCCTTATAAATAAGAGTACATTATAGACGTAATATTATGTCTTTGTGCTTTAGAATTAGGATAACTTTCATAGAATTTCAAATTTTTAACATTTCAGAAAAAATGGTCAGTTATTTAAGTGGGACCAATGGGAATGCGGCAAATAATAGGTCGATTTTCTAGCTGTTATATTTCGTAGGATGTTTTCACTGTTTTTGACGCCTGTTCATGCATGGCAATCTAGTTTTGTCTGTATATGTCACGTACGGGGTGTTGTACGTATTACGTACCTGTAGAAATGTACCGATTTTTGTTATGTTGCAGAAAAAAAGGATATAAAACGTATTCCAACTGGTTCATCATCTTCTGTTACATCAAACACAATTTTTGCCAATTTATGATCTAGAAATCCACACCAAATGTAAACAAATAGCACAATCTGCATTTCTGGGTCCTAAAGATCTTAAAGATGAATATTTGTAAAAGTATCCGCATCCACCTATTATTCATCGTCTAGATATTATGTCATAATCGAATATACCTATTTATGAAAATATATCTCCAAACATTGTTATATTTTCTTATTATTTCTATTATTATAACACGTCTGGGATATTAATTGCTTTTAATGTAATCTGCAGTGTTGCCAAACCGGAAAAAAAACGGAATCGGTAAATAGTGTCGTTGAGTTCGGTATAAGGTAAATCCCAAGATTAGTGGTAGATCAAGGACCTTTGAGTCATGAAAAACGTCTGTTATTGTATTGGGCGCGAACACAACATGTTTTTTGAGAACATTGTTCTATATTACAACTTCTACAATGTGTATACTGGTCGCTCTTTCAAAGTACTTTGCAAACCATTCTGGAAACTCCTTTTTCGATTCTTGCTTATGGGATTGTGAATATTTTTCTGTTTTACCCCTGAACTCACCTCTCATTAAAATTGAATATTTATTTTGAAAACAGACAGGTTTCAGTTTCTTTATTGCTTGTCCTGTGATGAGATAATGACGGTAATCTACCAGTCTGTACCTTTTGTATGCACAAAAATCAATTCAGGGCAAGCCAAGTAAGGGTTGAGGATGTGCGTTCGTAATCATAGGCAACCCAAATCTACGCCTCTCATGTGCCCGACTGCCTGAGTATGTATGCATATGTATAACTGAGATGGGGCATAAAACTATGAATACTCCATAAAATTAACTTTTACCTTTATTTTTGGTTTCAGCTCTTTTTCGGCAACTACAGAAATATTTAAATTATTTTGAAAAATCGTGGAGAATGATGTTATCGGTAAATATTCTCTTTTCGGTAAGAATACCGAAAAATCCGGTTCAAGTCCATGCATAGACAATCTGAAATTTGCAATATGAATTTATATTCTAAATTCTATGCATATCCGTTCATATTCGTCAATATTTCATTTGAAGCTTTTATTTGTCATTAGATTTCAGCAAAATGTAAGATAGTAAAGACAACAACACCGCACCCTGCAGCCCAGTTGACAAGCTGTCAAGATAAGGGATGTTTTAAAGTATCGTTATGTACCGATTCTTATCGTTTTAGGAAGTATCGATACTCTAAAATATTGGAATAAAATAAATAAATAAACAGGTGATGATACAAGGACAAGCTGTCATCTCGTACTTTGACAATATTTTGTTTTCAACATTTCATAGGTATTGGTTGCTGAAATTTGTTGATTGGATGTTGTATTTGACGGACTGTTACCCTATAGGTGGAGAATAACGGACTGTTAATTTGACAACATTGGTCCACCTTTAGAGTATCAGCAGGGCTTTTTGGCATTTATCACTAACAGCTATATTATCCTATCTTCTGATTTCGACCACTTCCGAATTGATAATTTTTAGTTGATATTCGTACGTTATATTTACAAAAATCTTCCCCAATTCTTGCTAAAGACAAATAACACAGGTTCTTACAGATGTTAGCTTAGTTTGTAAATTATGACGGTGCAGAGAGACATCCTTTCAGAAAATTACCAAATATAGTATTCCCCTACCTAACTTCGCTTCTTCCTTTATGAACCGACTCCAAGCACCTAAAATGCCAGCGGCTGTTTAATCAACTCAAGGATAAATAGTCTTAACTGTCAGTTTTTTCTTGGCATTTGCTTTCTGGTAAAATCGTGAACTAGTAAAGAGATGTTTTTTTGGATCAAGCTCGATTATTGCGGTTTGTAGGACCTGTTAGATTTATTTATAGAGAGAAACGAAAAACACTTACTTGACCAAGACTCAGTTTCTTACATTCCTTTAAGGATTCCGTTGTTTGCATTTTTGTTTCAAGCCCAGCTGATCGTTCAACTGTGTTGACTTCAATCAAGATTTCCGGATATAATTATTATTTACTCGGATTTTTTGAATCCGTTATCCGCCCGTAGGCAATTTTATTAGAAAAATGGCATCGAGTGGCTTAGCTTCTACTTGAGATATACGAGGTTTGTTCAAAAAGTATCGCGAATTTCATGTTTTTTCAAGAATTATTTATTTATTCATGAATATCTATTTTGTCTCCCTCAAAGTAATCCCCATCAGACATTATACACTTCAAATAACGTTTTTTCCAATCCTCGATGTCATCTTTATCTCCTCAATCGTGGTGTAGCGTCGTCCTTTCATGGGCCTCTTCAGTTTCGGGAACAAGAAAAAGTCACAGGGAGCCAGGTCTGGGGAATACGGTGGGTGGGGCATTATTGGAGTGTTGTTTTTGATGCATGAGCAGGGGCGTTAACATGGTGCAAAAGCCAATTTTTGTTCTTCCACTAATGCGGACGTTTCTGGCGGACTGCTTCTCGCAAATTGCGCATTAGGTACTTGAAGGTAGGAATATTTCCTTATCAACCGTTCTACCCTGCGGCAAGAACTAACAGTCAACATTTGGAATATGTCCGCGCACTTCAAGTTGTTTTTTACACAAAGTTTAATACAATTTCTTTGATCCATTTTTTGGAATAATCAAAAATCGGAGACAAGCTAAAACACACGTCCACCCACAATAGCTGTCAAAAACTGAGTGAACATTCAAAATGGCCGATATTGTCAACATTAGTTAGGGTCATGAGTACCAACATAACGCCACAAAAA